CTTGCAGCTGATTATCCCGGTTACCGATGACGCTCTTCTCCAATGGGATAGTGATCTAGGTCTACTTTCACCCTGAACCTCCAGGATTGACGAGTGCCACCAATAAAAAATGTATTCCAACCGATGATGTCTAGGGCGGAATACCAGGAGATTTGTCTAGCCAGAGCACATCCTTTTCCTGTTCCAACACTTCAGAGTTATGTGGCCGTACCACAATTTGGCCTGGTGCCATCAGATAATTTTTTTACTACAAATGTAAGCCAGGGAAGACAGCCCTGAAGAGTACGGGCAACCACAACTGACAACTTTTTAGTGGTCGTTCCAACGGCATACCTACAGAGACGGTATTTTCCAGGCCCACATTCCCGACTAACGATGTGCGGTTGGTTATCCAGGAAACGACCTGAAGACGAGATATATTTTGGTCAGCGGCTTATCTCCCTCATGTACAGTCTCCGAACACAGACTTCGAGGGTAAGAGTTAAGCTACCAATAGCTGGCTCTCCATCATCAAGAATAATAATAAAAAATAACTGGAAATTTCACCACTGGCCTTATTCGGGGTCTTTTTAAGTATTTACGTTCTCTACTTAACCATTAATCTCATCGGTTCTTTCAAGGACCACCTAAGTTTAAACTACTTTGCCAACAAATACACTTTTACTAAAATTTCCGAAAACATTATTCGTCGACAAAAAAACTACGTAAAGCAGGCCACTATTAAATCAAGTCAATTATTCACTGGCAGACGTCACGAGCAGAGTTGTTCGTCGCAAGGTTGGGAGCCCCGGTGACCGACGACCCTATATTAGCCTCACGACTCTAAGCATTCAACCAGGAATCACCAGTCGTCTCCAAGGTCTGCACTAGACGAACCTAACAGCTATGAAGGAAAAAAAAACTTGAGCCAACGGAAGTCTCTCATGGGCAAGCATCACGAACCAATATCTACTAATCTCTCCACCATGGATCATCAAAACAACTGAGTCTGCAAAAAAAAGTGCTTTAGACACCAACGTCTTCGACGCTATAACAGGAGACGTTGGAAAAGAGCACTACAACTAGCCTTAAAGCTTCGGACTTTGTAATTTTTCTCCCGATTAGTCTGGATCTTCAACAGCAGGCCAGAGAAGATCACTCTGAGGTATCCAGACAGTTACACTTGCTGTAAACTTTAGTCCAGAAAGAGTTTACTTAAGAAGCTTACGGGTCTTTTTTACGGCAATCGGACGTGGAAATACCTTGCCAACAAATATATTAGAACTTAACAAAGTTGACAGAAAATAGCCATTAAGGGTCACAAAAGTCGCAAGAGGATGAATTGGAAGGAAAACTTCAAATGTATCTAATGAATACAATTTCAGGCTTCAAGAAACTGACACAGAAAATTTATTGAGATTGGAACAGCAGCCTCAAAATCGACAAATTAAGAATCCTTTACTTGAGAGATCAGCTTTTCATTTTACCCTCACAGTAATCTCTTAAATCTTTACAGATCTAAATTCAGGTTTTTAAATAAGAAGAAAATATATTTGTATTTTTGTGGCAATAAAAAATGTAGAGATTAAGCTCCAGGACTTTGTTGCTCTGGTAATAAAGTTGTGAGATAAGAGAAAAAACAATTTTTTTTTATACGTTTTTGGGAGTTTAAAATCCTAACATCTTTAAAAAA